CGTTAGATCGGTCAAGGGTGATACGATGATACTATAATTTTGTACAAAACTGCGGTAATAACCACACATCCCCAAGAAAGATCTGACCTCAGTCACAAAGTGGGGTCGTGGCCAGTCCCTAATGCTAGTCACCTTCGCATCTTCATACCTAATTCCTTCCGCAGATACCTCATGATCCAAGTACAAGATTTTAGTGCGACCAAACTCGCATTTCTCTAAATTTATCCTATACTTGTGTTGTCGGGGGAGAGAGAGAATTTTGTCTACATGTTGGGCATGCTCCTCGACAGTCCTACTGAAGATAAGAATGTCGTCGAGGTACACGGTGATAAACTTATCTAAGTAGCCATGGAAAATCCTATTCATGGCATGTTGGAATGTACCCTGCGCATTGCAAAGGCCGAAGGGCATCACCACAAACTCGTACAGACCGTACTTGGTATGAAATGCGGTTTTGTGCTGATCTTCCAGTCTAATGGCAATCTGATGATAGCCGGATTTCAAATCTATCTTTGTGAAGTACTTACATCCCTGCACCCTATCCAATAGATCATCGATGCGCGGTAGGGGCTCTGCGTTTTAACTGTGATGGCATTGAGGCCCCTATAATCAATCCACATCCTTAATGATCCCCCCTTCTTCGGTATAAATAAGACTGGTGAGCCGAAGGGGGAGATGCTAGGCCGTATCCAACCCTTTTCTGTGAGCTCTTTCAGTTGTTGACGGAGCTCTCCCTTTGGGAATCTTACAACCAGGGATGATCTCTATGGCATGGGCAACCTCCCTGTCTACGACACCTGTAGGCTCCTCGAACAGATCAAGGTACTTAGCGACGACACTCTCTATCTTTGGGGGTGTTTTAACGGCCTCCCCTTTTGCCGAGACAAAGACCAAGTACATATCCTCCTCTTGGTTCTGTTTATAGTAGTTACAAGAGGAGCTGCCGCAGCTACGCTACGGCGAACGACAATGACAAAACATTTTGCAAAACACCCCAGCCATCAGTTGGATCTCATCTTTGCAATGTGGCCCTACCAGACGCTGCCCAACTTTGCAAAATGCCCCGAAAGTTGCTAAGTTCTCGTACACACATACCAAAAAAAAAAAAAAAAAAAAAAACAGTGTATGTTCACATGTTCTAGCGGTAGAGTCATTCAAGTTTGGTCATCCTATCGAT